AAAATCAGTAATAAAGTCCAAAGATGTCTTAGTGTAGTTATGAGGTTAGCTTACGCGAGTAAAAAAATTATCAAGCAGGATATTTTTGTTTATCTGCACTACCATGACCATACGCTCTAATGACGGCATTATTGCTATTGAAAAATAACAAAGGCCGTTTAAAAATCAAGCTACCTATGATAAGATCTTTCATTAAGTATGGAATATCACGGACGTGAGTTTTAATTTAACACTTCCATGGATCTATTAACAAAACTAAAAAATATTTCCTGAAATCTGTTGGGTTCTGTGCAACTTTTGTGTATTTTTATTTTATATTTTAAATTTTAATTAAAAGAACTTGCCAACCTATTTTATTCTTAGTTAATTTAACAAAAAAATATGTACCTATCACAAACAAAAAATTAACGTTATTTATATGTGATGATTACCATTAGTTTTATTATGAATTATTAGATGTTTGACGGTTTTGTATCTTGTTAAAAAAATAAGTTCGCCATTCATTTTAATAACGAGATCTGTTAGCTTTTTAATGTGTATACTTTTGTATGTAAATAACTGTATAAAATTGAATATAAATATCCTTATATATTAAGTTTAAGCATAATAATAATGTACCTATAAGAAGAAACTTTAATAGTTAATAGATACCCTTTGACTTGAAAATACATAATGTATTTACATAAAAAAAAACTGGGAATCATTTTCTAACTTGGCTGTATATAGTTCAAGAATGGATTTATGGAGTAATCTTTACAAATTTATGCACTCTCAATGCTTATCTCGCACCTCCGTGACTCGTCACGCTTCAGTTGGTTTTGGTTTTAAAATTGGCTAAAATTATCGTTCAAACTTTGAAGTAAATACGCTCCTTCAGCTGCATATGCAAATTTATCGTTTTCCACAACCTTTTTTTGGCGTGTGATATTATTGCCAGTCAAGCTCTCATCGTCTTTAGACACACATACCACTAATATCACGACAAAAGTAATTCAAAGTTCGAACGCTAAATATAATAATAAAAGTAAATATCTTTATTTATCCATCACAATATTGAATTGAATCTTAGGCGAATTTATATGCACTGAGTTATTAATTAGTAATTGTGACAATTTTAAGCGCAATTTAGTACCAAAACCACTCGAAGCTTCGTCGCACAGGTGTGGGAGAAGCATTAGACTACGAAGTTTGTCCAAATTTTGTGCTACAAATAAAATAACAATATTTTCAATATTTAAATGCGTCGCGTCAATGCAGTGCAGTAAAGATTTGTATCTTCGATAGAGATTAATAGGTACCGGACGTTAATTTATTCTGTAGTTAATTAAACTTTACACTGTACTTAGATTGTGAGCATAATAATATTAATAAAAACTATTAAGTACTTACTTGCCATGCTGTTTCATTATGCATAGACGTTGTTAAAAGGCACTTATTCCCATCGCCCTCGCTTCGCTTCGTTACTGTATAAGATACTTTATATACCTGTTGTGTAGGGTAAAGGGCCTTTACTCGGATTAAAGATATGCAACTGTATATAACCAAAGGGGATAAACTATGATCTATGTAGTAGAGTTTAATAGGTAGATATATTATTATACTTTTAATGAGTTTTTATGTTGTTCACATCACTCAAATGATGAACAAAGAACACGTTTGACCACAGACGATCCATTGGCCAAGAATAATCTAAAACTCTTATAAAATGATTTTATGAAAGCAGAACAGAGTTTTGTTTTTTTTTTATAATAAAAGGGCCATACGTCTAACGGATCGCCTGATGGTAAGTGATCACCGTCGCCCATAAACACCTGCAACACCAGGAGTATCACAAATCAAATGCGATGGTGACATAATGTTGCTCTATGGATGGGGGTGTTAAGAAGTATGGGTACGGCCAGAGTGCACTCAGATTCAGATTCAGACTCAGAAAACAAGCGCGAGAAATAAACAGTGTAGTTAAAGCAGGGTGGCCATAGTGGCAGCAGGCAACCAAAGGCCGGCATCGCATTTGTGATACTCCTGGTGTTGCAAGTGTCCATGGGCGACGGTGATCACTTACCATCAGGTGAGCCGTCTGCACGTATGCCACCTATAACATAAAAAAAAACCTGCTTAACTACACTGTATATTTCTCGCGCTTGTTTTCTGAGTCTGAATCTGAATCTTAGTGCACTCTGGCCGTACCCTACGCTCTTTTTTTGAAGATTTTCAAGTCGTATTAGTCCGGAACACTGCTGTTGACAATGTATTCCACAGTTTTGTCGTACGTGATAAAAAAAATTGACATAATCGCAAGGCTGTGGATAGCCACGCATCAAGATGGTGGGGATGAATTATTTTTCTAAGTCTCGACTTCCGACACAAGTTTGTTCCCGTAAATTATTTGCGAGGTCGGTATATATCACCTGTGCTGTCGTTTGCATAGCAATGAACGCAATCAATTTGAAGCCTATCATTGATATGCAGAAAAAAGCGTAGGAGATAGCACAAAGCCTTTTGGGACATCCGCGTTTACGGATTTGCAGTACAAACATGCACGGCCAACGTTTCAAAGATTTTCATAAAATAAAAAATAAAAGTCGACTTATATGGTTACTTAGGTAATATTTATATATTGACCAAAAATAAGGTCAATATTATTTTGCTGCAGCATGCGTACCAGTATATAAACGTCTTCTATGTTCAACAAGGAACATCCCTGAATCAAGTAAGGCAATATAATTATGAGTAACTTCGAAAAAAATAACTAAATCACTTACTTTGTTTCCAAAGAGTTCGCTTGATTTATCCTAAATCCCATGATTGGATCTTGACCTGTTTACCACAGCAATAGCTAGAAAGTACATCCCTAAAAAAAATCTTTATTTCAAATAATATTCCGAGAATTTTAAAACCTCCTTTTTGAAATCAGAATAATATAGTATATATCAGACAACGCCCATATGTTGTGATGTGAAACATGTGGGCTTTGTGACTTGTAAATACACACATCAAAAGTGTCTAGGGATCAACATATATTTTTGCAATAACTTTTCTCCTGATTGATATTAATTAAAATTTTCTTTAAGGATTCATCAAATAAAGTGTTTTCGTTTGTCACAGTAACGATAAACCAAGTCACCTTTGCATTAATAAAGAAATTTGCCATTTTCCTAATAAAGGGATTTTTGACATTTGAACCACTAACACAAAAGTTCGAAAAAAAGACTGAAATAACAGTTTTCTCTAAAATTTTATTGGGTAACTTAAACAATTAATAATCCGTATTTCTACAGCGAACACTAACAACACAAGAACATCGGTTTGGCATACTCAAAATGAGTTCATCCAAATCACGCTGTGGAATGGCCGCCCATGTTCGTTGCAACAACAAAAAAAGGTCTTCTTGCGACTGGATACCCTCCATATTCGGCAGAGCTCTTCTCTGTAGCATATCCCATGCATGCTCAATCGGGTTCAAGTCTGGCGACTGAGCAGGCCAGGGCAGGACATTGATGTTAGCTGCGGCGAGAGTCTGTCTTACAACTCTTGCGGTGTGCGGTCGTGCATTATCATGCATTAACTGAAATAAGGGACCGATTTGCACTTGTAGAGGAACGATGACGTCTGATACAATCGTCTCAGCATAAATTTGAGCGTTGAGGTTGCCTCTGATCCAAATCAACTCAGTTCTTCCGCCGATCCAAATACCCGCCCATACCATGATGGTTCCACCACTATAAGGATGGACTTCCTGGCAGGATTTTAATCGCTGTTGGCGTCCAGGGGTTCTCCAGTGTCGTATACGTCTTGTATCCGGTCTCATACCAAAACGAGACTCATCAGAAAAGCACACGAAACGCCATTGTTCTTCTGCCCAATTTCTGTGTTCAAGAGCCCATTGATATCGAATCCTACGATTGTGCATTGCTATAGGTGGTACCCGTAGCGGTCTTCGGGAATGAAGGTTCACTTCATGCAACTGACTGTTTGGTCGCTAATTAAGTTCCCTGAAGAGTGATGAAGCCTCACGGCTAACATCATGGCGGTTATTGTTGGAGCTCTTCGAGTTAAGATTTGACTGTATCGGTCTTGTCTCCGTGTGGTGCAGCGATACCGTCCTCCATGGCGCTCAGCCACGGTACCAGTGCTTCGGTATCGTGTCCAAAGTCGACTGATAACACTCTGACTTGTATTCAGAGCTAAAGCCACAGTACGTTGCCGGGAACCAGCTTCTATCATTCCCACGGCTCTGAGCATTTCTTCCCTGCTTAAATGACGTCGCCGCTCCATAATAACGTTGGTTTTGATCAGTAGTAGGGAAACAGTAGCACTAATAATGTCTTCAATGCGTTGTATGTTTTTATAGGGAAAATATTGACAGCTGATTTTCATCTTTTACTCGAATTTGATTCACAGTTCCTGATTCAAATTATGAAATGCACCAAAAAGGATCCATATAAATTTATAAAATCATAAATTTATTACAAAGCCACATCTCAATCTCAAGAAATCCGCATAAAAATGCTTGATCCCTAGACACTTTTGATGTGTGTATTTACTTAAGGTTTAGGGATTCAATTTTTAACAATAAAAAACACTTAGATTAGCTTAACAGCATGGTCACTCTATAAAGATTAGTAACAAAACTTCTGTAGTGGGCCTTTCACTGTTGCCATCAGTCATATATTTAAGGAAGTTAATCCCATCAAGTTAAGTTAAATTTAAAACCATTGAGCTCAGCGGGAAATAATCTAGATCTAAATGGAAAAAAAATACCTACGTTCTCACGAAGGAGATGAGAATGCTAAGGGGAGAGCGTTAAAAATGATGTGTAGTTAACTAAATGATCACGATTTATTTCTTATTAAAAATCACAGTTTGGAATGCGTCGCTCAAGCGTCAATAGAAATACAAGAATCAGGGCTGTATGGACTTCAGTTTGTAAGTCAACAAATTAAAAAGTATTTGACGTTGTCAATTTGACATCCAGGCCTACGTTCCACTCCAAACTTACGCTGTAAGTAAGTGCAACTTTCTACACTGACGTTCAAATTTAGACATAAAATCTATGAAGCTAATGTCAACTTTGACATTTGTTGCACCTAGAGCGTAGGTTTAGAACGCAGCCAGATGTCAAAATCATATGTACAAACGACAACAATCATTTGATTTCATTCAATTTCAACCATTGCTTGTAGAAAACACGAGCTTCATTATAATAAATTAAATCATTCAAACTGTGATTGTTACGTTATAAGAATCTATAACTCTAATGTAACTGAAATCATTTTATTATTTATTACTGTGACTGTGACTCAATTCAAAATGAACGGTGCCGGTGATGAGAATAATGGATTAAAACACAAAAATGCAGAATATTCGGTAAGATAAATTTATTTATCAATTAAATGTTAGGTAAAAAACTTATGTAACAATATCTCTCTACCAGGTGTTAATTTTAACCTGTCCTTTTGCCAGCATTTTTCTGTAACTTCGCTATATTTTATATATAATTTTTATATAATTTTATTGAAAGCAATGTAAGTTCTATGAACCTCTGGGTTTTTAGTTTCCACTACCTATATAAATGGAAATAGAAGAATACTTAAATAGTATTAATCATTTCTACCTACTACGAATCTAATACTTATAAAAGTTTGGTACCTACTACAAAATTAAAGCAATACCAATTAGCCAAGAAACTTAACAAACTCTTAGGGAGAGAGATGCCAATTAAAATTTAGGTGTTTCGTTACATGATTAATATATTTTTAACCATGACTAGATATGCATTATTCACAAATTTTTAGTGGAATTTACAACTAAGAATGTCATGTTAGGGTGTGCACTATCTAGACAGATAAAGAATTGATTTGTTCAGACTGATAAACCACAATCATGCTGTAGTCAGGCAAGGTTAGTCAAATAAAGTATAAAGTCCACAACCTTACAATATACTTATGAAGCAAATATTATAATGATGTTAGTTCTATAAGTTTTTGAATCAATAAAATACAAAAAAATAGGCTTTAATTTAGTTTATTTGTTAAAATTTCAAGATTACAAAATTATAGTAAAGTTTAAAATTATAATAAGAGTATTTTTCATTTCTCATAATAAAGTACATAATTCAGTAATTAGTAGTAAATACTCTATGGTATAGGCTGTATAAAAAAATGGTCAATGATAATGTCATCACATTCTCAAAAAAAAAGTTTTCAATGGTAGTATGGACATTGAGATATTATTAGAAAAATGGAAAAACATTTTAGTAGCGGAATGAAGAATTTAAATGACAAATAATAAAAAAAACTGTAGAATATTTAAAAAGATTGTATGAGAATATGAAAATATTAATTAGTCATTTAAAATGATATTCTGTCAGAGGATGGGAAGAATGGAAGGTTTACTGAACCAACCCTAGATAAATTGAGAGCATAAGGAAGTCAGCAGTTGGTTTGTTTAAGCACAACCTTAAGGAGTGTTTTATTTTATGATTGGTGAATTGGCATGTGAAACATTTATAAAAAAGACCATGAGACAGAGTCATAGTTTGGGCATTATGAGGCAATGCCCGTATACCTTAAAAAACCATTGCTCTACTTTAAGAGGGGAGGCCGTAATGTTTTGTCCATACAAATGTTCTCAACCGATTCCTCCTTGATTTTTATTACTAAAGAAATGATTTTTTTTCTCATTCTAATACTCCTATGTCTCTTTTTCTATAACTTGTGTTGCAAATTAACTAGAAGCCATAAAGCAACAGGGCGATACATTCATAGCGTTCCCCTCCAAATTAAACAAATTTTTATCACCATAAAGACGTCTAGTGTGGAGATTCCATAAGCATGTACAAAAAAGAACAAAACGTAGAGGCCTCATATAAGAACTTATTTCTCAATGGGTAAAATTTCTTTCACATATATCTAATTTTCGAGGAGGAAATCTTCGAGAGCCAAACCCTGAATTTTGCAAATTTTTATCTGCAATTTTCAGTATTACCTACTGTTGTCCTTATAGCAAGGTTTTTACCAATGAGCGACAGCAATAGTTTTTTCAAATACCTATTTCTCAAATATCTCTTAGCTTGCGTCCGCTCTTAAAACGGGGCAGTGGGCTACGAAGGGCTGCACGCGCCTGCCTATGCCTTATCTAGAATTACCGCTGCCCTATCTTCAAAACAACTGGCTTCAACCCTGCCATGGCATGTTCTTAGAAAGAAAAAATCTACTTTTAATGGGAAACTGGAATCCCACTGTTAAAGTATTATTATAAAATATTATTGTGGTGGCCTATTTTCACTGAAAATCGCTATCAATCATCAATCGAGCTATCACAAGGTCGTCTGACATTGTTATCTATGTATTTAACACACAGTTCAGTATCGCATGAAGAAATACCGTTGCGATTTTATGCTCAAATTGGAGTGCCGGCATGGGAAAGATTCTTTTCTCCTTACTCATGACTATAGTGAAAAAAAACCGAGGGGTCCGTACATATTTGTAGGTATGCAATATAACGACTGTACCTTGTTTTAACGTTAACTTAGAAATTAGATTTTTAACAGCTTCAAAGGATCGTAAACCTGAGTTGTGAGGTTTAAATTAGAACGCGATTAAAATTCCTCCACGCGTTACCGAGATTAAGGGTCTTGTTTTAGAGTTTCTTGTGAGGTGGAGTCATCTGTCAGATAACCTGGTATTAAGTGACGGTGGAGTCCAGACAAAAAGGAGATCAGTGGTGCAGGTGGTTAGCGCGTTCGACTTCGGTCGTTGAAGTTAAGCAACTTTCGCAGTGGTTGGTCATTGGATGGGTGACTAAAAATCTTCTATCTCGAGTTCCTCCGTGCGTCAATCCGAACTAGGCCCGCCTGGTGGATCATAGCCCAATCTCCCTATTTCATCCATAGGGAAGACCTGTGCCCCAGCAGTGGGGACATTAATAGGCTGATGATGATGAGTCCAGACGTGAAGATAGCTCTCACAGCAGTTCTACCTGCCGCTCCAGCCGTCCTCACCTTGCCGGCTTGAATATAGATTCTTCACACCTCTTAAAGGATCCCGGGTTATAGGAAGAAGGGAACACGTGAGCAGGCAAAGTATTCTATCTGTGGATAGTGCGATAAAGAAATGATTCACCAAATTTCTTTGTGCGCTTTGGAATAGTGGCCACAGTAGCAAAACTCATCGCGCAGCGTGCTATGGAGAGGGCTATGCTCGGTGATTCCCTACGTGATAAGATCCGAAATACGGAGATCCGTAGAAGGACCGGTGTGTACGACATAGCCCGAAGAGTTAGCACGCTGAAGTGGCAAAGGGCAGGCCACATCGCTCGAGGATCTGACAACCATTGGGTAAGAAAGTTCCTCGAGTGGCGACCACGTACCGGACGACGCAGCGTGGGGCGGCCCCCAACAAGGTGGACTGACGACATCGTCAAATGTGCTGGGAGCTGCTGGATGCGGATAGCGCAGGACGGCGCATTGTGGCGTTCTATGGGGGAGGCCTATGTCCAGCAGTGGACGGAGAAAGGCTGATGAATGGATGGATGGAAGTCGGTGAAAACGTAGGCTAGCGCGCGTGATCCTCTGAAGGAAAGGGGAAGGTGGGATAAAGGAGAATAACTCCTCAGAACACTCGCCGTGGTGCAGACGATGTGAAACTATAAATCTACGTGAAATGAAAGCGTTGAACGTAAAAATTCAATAAATATCACACTAATATTATAAAAGCGAAAGTTTGTGTGAGTGTGTATGTTTGTTACTTCTTCACATCTAAACGATTTTAATAATTTTGGTATGGAGTTACGCATTAGTTGGACGCAGAGGGTCAGGAACGAAACCGTGCTTCAGCGCGTTCATATGTCCCGGAAAATGTTGCTTTCTATCAAAAAGCGCAAGATAGAATATCTCGGCCACATGCTCAGGAACGATAAATACATGCTGCTGCAGTTGATAATGATGGGCAAAATGGACGGAAAGAGACGTGCTGGGCGAAGAAAGAAGTCATGGCTCCGGAATATCCGGGAGTGGACCGGTATTGCCTCCGTCGAACATCTGTTCCGGCTGGCTGCTGATAGAAATGAATACTGAAGCTAACAGCCAACCTTCAGGATTAAAGAGGCACTGGAAGAAGAAGAAGATGGAGTTAGCTGACACCCTAGATTAACACATAGGCTACGTTTTACTGCGGGAAAATATCCCTAATAAACCGCGAGTAAAACCGCGGGGCACAGCTAGTTCTCTATATGTAGCCATGGCAACGGTTCATCATCGTACTAATAAAATATAATCATCAATTGTCCCGCTATAGTTATATTTCAGACTGAGATTCTGATGCCTTATACAAGGTTACAGGAAAAGTCGATCTAAGTAGATATTTAAGAAAATTATTATTTAGATCATTGTCCTTAACTATCTACATCGACTTTCCTATAACGCGGTATAATAAATATACATATATGTAGGATGGGAGTGCAGTAAAAATACCGAAAATTCTTTTAAAGCCTTTATTTTTAGCTAGCGGCTCGCTTCGCTTCGGTGTAGAGCTGAAGTGTAGACTACAGTTTTTGTTCTCAGGCTTGTATTATACATAATGGCATTCATCTATGATTCTTCTTATACCTGCAGGCAAAGTCTCAGCCCGATCGGTTTAAAATTGACAAAGTTTCATACAAACTTTCATTCCCCTTTTTTATCGCCTTGAGGGTAGAATTGACCAAAATCCTTAGCGGATGTCTACGTCATAACATCTACCTGCATGCCAAAAATTTCAGCCCGATCCGTCCAGTGGTTTGGGCTGTGCGTTGATAGATCACTATGTCAGTCAGTCAGTCACCTTTGAGTTTTATATATATATATAGATTTCCTTCAGATAGCACACCGCACGTAATCGTCGTGGCAAGAGAATCTTCTTTTTCTCTCTCACACGCATACTATCTCGCTCACACACATACAGACAGAAGATGTACCGCTTCAGCCATCGTTATCTAGCCGGTCTCAACCCAATCCCCTGCCCCGCAGGGCCCCGTAACCCTTCTGCGCGATACCCCGGCAGACCCCTGCCGCGGAGCCCCGGCAAGGCCGGGAGGCTGCTAGGCGCGGAAGAATCCCTAATCGGGGATCCCGCGACTTCGCGCTAAGCAGCTTAGAGGGTGTTCGCAGGGTTTTTTCGCATATATTATGTCGTATAGCGCCCGTAAGGGTTACGGGGTCGTCAGTGGGCAGCCACTGCTGGGGCTCGTAAGGCTTGCGGGAGCCAGGTGTGAGGTCCGTTCGGCGGTGTGCCTCTTAAAGGCGCCGTCGTCTGTAAATAGTATTTTTTGCCTGCGTATAAAAAAAGGGGCTCCGTAACCCTTCTCACTATCAGAAATACAACACCACC